TCTAACATTCGACCACGACATCCCTTGTTAAACCTAGTACCATAATTCCTTGCACATTAAGTAGCTGTGTAATAGATAGCTATGCTGGCTACTTAATGACTAATTATTAATATATTATTCTATTTTCTGTGACGAATATAACTCTTTTGAAAAGGATATTGGCGGCGAACTCTATTATCCTAGAGATTATACATTTTTTGAGACACTCGTTTGTTATGTGATATGGGATAAACATCATAAAGCTTATATTAAAATAATTTTAGCAGCGATTTGAAATCGTACACGTCAATGAGTCGTTATATATACCTGGATAAAAGCCTTAAGGCTAAAGTTATCAATATTCAAGATGAGCTTTTTACCTAATCTAGTTTGTATCAAATAACAAATTATGCTAAGTTTTCAGTAGTTCTTGTTAATATTTAAAACGATTAGAAACTAACACCGCTATGAAATGTATTAATTCCCTTGGAGCGATCCCCTTTATATGTCAATATGGTTAAACGGTGCGCGGACCTTTGACCACAGGTGCTTTGGCCATGGGGGTTTTGACCATAGGGGGTTGACCATAGGGGCTTTGACCACAGGTGCTTTGACCAACGGGAATTTGACCATAGGGAATTTGACCATAGGGGCTTTGACCATAGGGGGTTTGACCATAGGGAGTTTGGCCATAGGTGTTTTCTAAGCAGAGGGTCTTTGATCACAGGTGGCTTATCTAATTCTGGCGTTTGATAACAAGCGCTTTGTCCATATATGGTAAGGATGAATTTTAAATGTTGTGTAATTATATTTTAAATTGCGGCAGGATGTAATACTATGTTAAGTCATCTGTCATTTAGTTAACCATACACACATTATTTATTTGACTATACTGTTGGCATGTTTTTTACCCTTTATATATGCTATGTATTTTCAAGTACATCTACATTATTTATTTGTGAAACTTGTTATATGTCGCATTATATGTTAAATTAAATCTTAGATAGTACATTGTATACATTTTTAATCCGCAAATATTAAACACGTACACTTTGATCCCAAGTCACTTTATACCTAGTTATCCCCTGGAAAATGTAATATATATATAAATTTAATTATTGGGAACATGTTTAATTATAATTTATATTTTCTTTAAACGAATCTGTCAATTATACGAAACACAATTAATTGTACAGTAATATTTATTTTTATATTAAACCTGCCGTTACTTTGGTCTAAATTTACACAGAAGCAACGATATATGAAATAAGTAAAAAATGATGGTGATAAATGAATAATGCAAGAACAACAGATTTATTTAAAAATGTTAGATTCGCACCTCCGTCACACGCGATCGAATATTTTAAAATCTCGCCACCTATACTTGTATAACCTATTGTATGTTGTGTGGCTCCAGGTTAAATTAGGACTATAATGTGAGGTTTCGAGAGTGTTAACAGACACATGTGTCTCTTGAAGGAACGTTGCTATATGTCAACTATATTAGCTTCATTATCTAAATGTTTAAGGATAACGAAATTGTTTTGCCTCTTATCTTGATTGAACTGCAGTTCATTCAATCTACAAAATTACAAATTTAAACCATAATATTTCTATTTCCAAACTAACAGGCCATGGTTGCTAAACCAAAAAATCTCGAGTTCGAACCCTCGGGCAGATAAGGCTCGTTAGCTGGAGACAGCCACTCTTCTAGGAGAGACAACTCCAAAATTAAACAACTGCTGTCTTGTAGAAGAAAATCCAAAAAGAAAAGCATGCTGAAATCGGAGTCAACGGCCTCAATAGCGCATAACGAGTTGACACGAATCCTTAATTGTGATGGAGGCGTGGTCGCGTCTGCAAAAGCTCATGGTTGATAAATTCGAATAAAAGTCTGGAGTTTTAACCCGGTCTAAGACTCGATCCCCTCCAACAATAAAAATTAAGAACGAAGAAGAAGAAGAAGATTTACTCCCAGTTAGACTGTTGAAATATTATTGAAAAACTGCTGTTAACCAGCATCAGTGTTACGGTAAAACGGTTATACCTCCATTTTGCCTTCAACCCACCAGTTACCCGCATTCCTATCCCGCCTCCTTTTATGTAAGTTGCACACAGATCGTTGGTCATCTGTCGTAGCGGTGAATCATGTCATAGGTTTGACCAACATGTGTGCACCTAACACGCTCTCCAGTCTAGATAGAGAAGCTAGTCAGATGATACGCAAAGTACGGGTGTATTTAAGAGGGGGGGGGGGGGGGAGCGGGGCTGAATGTCTCTTTTACTCTTACGCTTAACCATATTTGACAGGGTTTCGCACGAGAAGTTTAGGGCTGTCGAGCCTACCCCCCCCCCCCCTCCCGTGTTTGGTTTTGTATCATTTACAGGGGTCGGCGTGGTCGAGTCGGTAAAGCTCACGGTTGCTAAAAGTCTCGGGCAGATGAGGCTCCGTTAGCTGGGGACAGCCACTTATCTAAGAGAGATAACTCACTCCAAAATGAAATAACTGCTGCCTTGTAGTTTGTTCTTGGTTTGACAAAGGCTATGGAAGCAAATCCAAAAAGAAAAGCAGGCTGAAATCGGAGTCAATGAATGGCGCATAACCCTTTGACGCGTATTCTTAATTGTGTTTGAGTGGGATCCCTTCCAACACTAAAATTAAGAACGAAAAAGAAAAAGAAGTATCATTTACATACTAAACATTTTTTGTAACTCATATTTTTTCCCGTATATACGATGTATAGAGAAAGTCTTGTAATCGTGCAAAAAAAATCGAGATTTCTACAAATCTCGACGTTTTACACCTCACTGATACGGAAAAACATAATTTTCCAATCTTGTCCGTATGTCTGTGTGTGTGTGTGTCTGTCTGTCTGTGTGTAAACACGATAACTTGAGTACCGTTACAGCTAGGTTGATGAAATTTTATATATAAGTATTTTATCAAAATCGTAGACCGTACCAACTTTTGAGCGATTTCCGATAACCGGAAGTGGTACTATTTCTACTTTGAATTTTTCAAAAGCCTATAACTTGAGTACTATTTCAGATAGAACAATGAAATTTCACATGTAAGTAAACAATCTGTAACTCTACCTTCTGTCAAATTTTGAGTAATTTCCGATGACCGGAAGTAGTAATTTACGCTATTTCCGATTTCTCAAAAACGCATGTAAATTTATAAAGTAGTAATAATATTGTGCACTATTATGCACTTTTTTTCTACGTGATTCTATTCTATTTTTTAAAGTTTAAGTAGTTACAAATCATGTCTATATTCCGAGTTATATAAGAATATTCGAGAAAGTTTAGGGGAGATCACTCCCGGTTTATGCTTATCAATGTTTCTAAGTATTTTTAAAGTCTAATACATTTTATGTAGCATACTCTTGTAGTTAACGTTGTGTTTAATAAGTAGATTATAATTTTACACAGACAGTAAACTGCGGGCATTGAGTTGACCCGTGTTCGTTGGATTGATAATTAGGTTTACATGCTGTAAACCCTTGCAAAGGCAAGTGTTCTGGCTTCTATCATTGATACTGCTTACTGTTACTAACTGTGGCGTAGCGAGGTCGGGTGTCACCCGGTGCGGCACTTATTGGTGTCACCCCCCAGAGGCGTAGCGACCCTTCCCGGGGACAAACTTTCAATTTTCAATTTGCACCCCCCCCCCCCCTCAAACTTTCGATTTGCACCTCTTAAAAGATTATTTAACACTCGAATTAATCATTAATCACTTAATTAAGTGGAATTATCATTTTTCTCTATGTATTTTGCTATTTTTTGCCTTAGTGTCACCTCCCTTAATGGTGTCACCCGGTGCGGTCCGCACCCCCGCCCCCCTCGCTACGCCTCTGTTAATAGCTACTAAATGTGAGTACCACTTTAAGAGCTCACCCTACACGTTTCTTAGTTCACGTGACAGTAGGCTACTACATATTTTACTATACATTTACTTAATTCCCGGTAGAGAAGTTGCTCAGAGCTTTATTAGTTAAATCATATTATTTTCAGTATTACGGTACAATTATTCTTTTTACCGTTAACAATCAGGTCTTAGAGTATTCATCATATATCAAACACAAACTAACAACTTTTGCTATGCAGAGTGTAGCAACGTAATAAATACACGCAGCGATTAGTAATTATACACTTCGATAAGAACGGAATGTGTTCCTAATCCGGGATTTTAGTCTTAAGGCTAAACTTGAAACACGTGGTGTTAGATTATGTATAGGGATTTCTTTGAAACAAATTGTTTTACATGTTATATTTAAGTAAACCTTTGCAATATTGTATACATTTAACAGCAGGGCTGCTAAATATGATATTACTGCAGTGGTCAGAGTTTCTTCCAGGCATCTCTCCCCCCCCCCCCTCGGAAGAAAGTCTACCGCCCCCCAGTAGAGATGGAATTTATATAGTAAACATATACTTTTACTAGTGTCCCCCCCCCCCCCGAAAATATCAAGTGCCCCCCCCCCCGGAGCAAAAAGTGTTATCCATTGTGAGTGTAGTCTACATACAACCATGTGTTTCCCAATTAATAAATTTTCAAATAATGATCAGATTCTTCCAAGCATATCTTCGGGGGAGGGGGACGAAAAACATCTACGGTCAGGCCCCACCACCCTCCCCCCTTCTCTCCAAATATCAAATTGGAATTTATATAGAAAATATACTGTTACCATTGTTATCCCCCTCTGAAATTTTAGTCCGCCCCCACCCTCCCTAACGAAAAGTATCAAGTCCATTCTCCCCCCCCCCCACACCCCTCCACCCGCCACCGGAAAAAATGTCTGAAAGAAACATAAATAATGATCACCTAAAATATTATTCCTTAATAAGTTATTCCTGTTCTCCTGTTCCCAATTAAGCTACTAGACACTTTAATCTGCTCGAATTAAGCTACTAGACACTATAATCTGCTCGAATTAAGCTACTAGACACTATAATCTGCTCCAGCTGATATCGATCACGTGATCAAACTATATAAATTCCGGCTACTTAGCTAAATCCGTTTTAAAACAAGGTGTACAGTCATACAAAGAGCAAGTAGTCGCTTCTTTGCTGCAACAAAACCAGTTCAGCTTTACAGAGGTATGGAGTATAAAAACATATATGTTTTTAAATTCATTTTAGAAAACTAATACAGTAAATCGTTGTTTTTCAAGTACTTCTTGTATACAATATATATATATATATATATATATATATATATATATATATATATATATATATATATATATATATATATATATATATATATATATATATATAAACATATATATTATATATATTTTTTTCCATACGTTTGTTTGTACACATGGTAATGCCTATTTATACATCAGAAGTTATTTTGTTTTACATAAGGGTCTATAAATAATGTCATATACACGCATGGTTAAAGGGGGTGGGATAAAGAGCGAAGATAGTTTTGATGTTTATTGCAATATTTGCAAAATTGGGTGTTGGGTTAACATCATAGGGTGATATTTAAAAATGAAGAATTTTAATATAATCTACATAAGTTACAGCTTCTTTCAATTAAATGTATTACACATGCGACTATATTTTGTTTCAAAATGTATTTAAAGCTTTACTTACCAAAAGGGTGTAGAAAACAAGGCGTCTACGAGTAATACTGACCACATTATCCTCTTGTATGCCGAGGTTATTGAAACAGATGGATTACTTAGTATGTCCCATGAATACTGTTAAGTCCTTAGAACACTAACACTGATCACAACAATGAAAAAATAGTCAAGATGCATTACTTAGTATTACATGTGTCTTGAACACAAACGGAAAAGAAGACGATGATTTCGAATACTTTTAATTTAAGTTTCGTAGAGCACTAAAATTGATCACAGCAATGAAATAAATTACCACATAAAAATATCCAACATATAACATCACGTGTTATAATTAAGCGTTAGTATTGATTACTATAATATAACCAATATTTAAAATGAAGGCACTATTGGTTATATTCAAAACCAATGAAAAGTTGTTTTTTTCTCGATATGGGAGGAGCTTCAAAATTGTGACTGCCAGACATGGTAGAATTAGTTCCCCTGATCGCAAAAATAGCCCTCGCATCGCTTTTGTAACACCTATGGCATACTAGCCCCTTCGGTCGCCCCGATTTTAGCTTCGCACCTTCTACATTATACCTCGCCCCTTTTCGCACATTGTTGGGTCGACGTACCCAGGGGGCATCCTTTCAGGAATCTCGCTAGACGTCTGTCTCGACACTACGTAACATCCGTATGCTTCAATTGAATCTAGAGTTTAAGGACAGATTATGTAATAAAATGTTTCGGCCAGAAGACCTGGCTAAGCACATATCGGATTATAAAAATTCTACGCAAAGCTGATGGCATGATTAGATACACACTGGCCTACTTTTCAAAAATACCACACGTTTATTAAGAAAATATTTATTTAAAAAACGTATCAAAAACATAGGGCCTAACTTAATTAAAATCAATCACGCTTAATATAAGCATCTTCATAAAGACTTTTATGATTGAATTAACTCATATAAAAATATTAATGTGGTATTTTGTTAAAAGACCAATCCTACCAGATTTACTACTTTCGTGTAATAAAATCTAAAATAAATCAATAATCGGTAAAAATGTACGCGCATACACAGTATTTATAATTAACCTGCCAGTGTATAAAAACCAAATACATGTGTGTGTGGGGGAGGGGGGGGGGGGGTTGCGAAGCATTTTATATCAGCTTACAGAGATTTTAATTTTGCTTGATTCCACTGGATCATAACTCACCCCCCCCCCCCTATCACCAAACCGCATGGTTTTTCTAAACGCGACTAGGCCAATGTATTGATTTTTAATCTAACTAGGCTGGTGGCCCACCTTTGGTTAAAAATACGAACATGAGGTGTGGGCGGGGGACGCTGACCACACTATTCCCCTGTATGATATGGTCATTTAAACAGTTGAACTCAGCTTTATCTGTCCCAAGTTTCTTGGGCACGAATAGGGAAAAATCTAATTTTTTGTAGTATTTCTATATATGTTTTAATAACTTTTGATTCTCGCGAAATAAGAAGACGTAGTTAATAAGATTTTCTGAAAAAAGTCACAAGAAAAAAGGTCACAAATGTATCTTTGCATAGAATGTGTTAATACTTGTATGTATTCAATATGCAGAAAGTGCAAATCAACTTACTATTAATGAAATGTAATAAAATGTGCGTAGGTTGTATACGTATAGTGTTATTAATAACACGTAAATATTTATTTATTAGATTTTTTTCCAACCTTCTCGGTTTTTTTAGTGTTTGTTAATACTAACTTTGAATTTGCGCGAAATGGCATTAAGACGAAGTTAGTGTGATTTGCTGCACTCAACTCTTTGTAACAATAAGTCAACGGCCTATACTGCCGACATTTATCACGCACATTACGTAAAAAAATTAGATCAAAACAGAAACCCGACACGGTACAAAAGCTGTCATTGACACAAAACGTCAAAACACACTTTATGGACGGACATGGCCGACTAAGGAGAAGCCGACCAAAGAACGGCAAAAAAACAAACATGCAAAACACAATTATGTGCCTAAAATTCGTGTATAATTAACATTTCTAGAGCGTATTTAACTAAATTCATTACAAAAGTTGTGGTTGCTGTGTACATAAGGTTGCAGTATTTTTACTTATTATTGTTATAAACTAGATTACTTTTATTGTTTATAAAAATGCTAAAACAACAACAACCCACATCAATAAACACCCAAAATTTTACAATTCTCAACAATTAAAATCAAAATATTTATTAAAACATTATTGTGACTTTTTTCTGTGACTTTATTTCTGTGACTTTATTTCTGTGACTTTATTTCTGTGACTTTATAAAGTACTAATAATATTGCATACTATTATGCACATTTTATTTGGCGTTCACTTGGTGTGCAATTCTTTTTTCTACGAGATTTTATTCTATTTTAAAAAGTTTAAGTATTTAAAATTGATTAAAAATCATGTCTATATCCCGAGTTCCCATCCCCTGTTGTTTTATATAAGAATATTCGAGAAAGTTTACGGGAGATCACTCCCGGTTTGTTATGCTTGAAAGCAAACTGGGTTCAAACGAAATGTTATAGCGCTAACAATACCTCTCCACCCACACAAACATTTAACGTCAAGATATTCAGATACGAGCTTTTGAAACCATGACATTAATCAATACGATTACATCCTACTGTAGATTTTTTTTCATTTTATATTGTTTTGTCAGATGTATCTAACAAATTTAAATATATATATAAATATATTATTACATATTTGAATATACAATATCGCGGAACAATGCTGATTAAATCTTTATTATGCACTGGCACTAGTATATAAGCTTGCTGAAAACCAGCTAAGCAACAGGCAGCAGTTATAGAATACAGCATACTTTCATAACACTGCTTTCCGAAAAACTAACGTAAGTAAACTTTAGTCCTTTAAAGAAATATTCTCTTTATGCGAAATTTAAAAAAAAACCGTTAAATTTCTTATTTTCTCGCGGTAAAACTGTAATGAATGTTGTATGTGTATAATCATTATACATGTAAGTATACGATTTTTTTTAAGTCACAAATTAAGGTAGGCTAATTTTCTCTTCAAGCTAGTCAACATTTTGTAGTGCATCGTTATCATTGCTTCCGATTTCAAATAACTTAACAATATAGGAAGTAACTTTTGTATTAATACATTCTCGTATACAGGGTATAAAGTATTGTAATTGTGCACAAAAATCACATGAAAATGTGACAGATTTCACTGTTTTACTTATCAGTACTTCATCTAATACAGAGTATAGGGGACTAATAACATAAATTATTTAATCGGTCGAAAATTATAATTCCAGATTTATCAAAATTTAACGTTTAACGCGTAATCGAGTCTGGAAAACTGGGCTTTACAATTCTGTGCGTGTGTGTACATGTGGGTGTGTCTGTGTGTATCTGTGAACACGATAACTTGAGTACCGTTACAGTTAGGTTTATGAAATATAATATATAAGTATTATATCAAATTTGTAGTTTTGTTTCAACTTTTTAGCGATTTCTAATAACCGGAATTGGAATTTATTCTACTTTTGGTTTTTCAAAAGTCTAAAACTTGAGTACTGTTTATGCTAGATAGATGAAATTTCACATATAAGTAAAAGATCAAATTTTCTGTCCTCTTTCAGAGTTTGAGTAATTTTGTTTACCATAAGTGGTACTTTAGGTTATTTCCGATTTAAAAAAAAACTATTAATTTTATAAAGTACTAAGATTCTAAATTATTGTTCTTATATTGTTTGCCGTTAACTTCTTTTTTCTACGTGTTTCTATTCTATTAAAAAAAATTAATAAAAATTGATTAAAAATCATGTCTATATCCCTAGTTGCCATCCCCCGAAATGTTATACAAGAATATTCGAGAAAGTTTAGGGGAAATACTCCCGCTTTATTTTTAACCAATTTAATAAAAATATTCATAATTGGTTTGAAAAATACTAGCTGGCAAGTACGAACGAGATGTTGGTGACCTACTTACAAGCCCTATTCTTTACCCTAATTGCCTTATCCTCTGCATAAAATCCATAAACATAGATTTGATATTTTTTTATCCCCAAGATGGAAGCGCACTTCAAATAAATATGTACTGTTAATTTTACTAATTAAAATATAACGAATATTATGTAGGCGCTTTATTATTCTTTTGGAAAGACAAAATATTTATAACTTCCTATGTTTATATGGCGAGAACAACTCTAGCTAAATATTCCGTCTGTCTATAATAATGTAGTATGAATTTGAGAAAGTAATAAAACATTTTTTTTGGAAAATTTTGAAAGAAACGCAGTTTGTAGATATGTAAATTTTCACCAGAGCAAGTTTTAATTTATTTGTATTTTACTAGTGTTATAATGGAGTAGGTTATGTAAACAAAAATATTAAAATAAACTTTTTTTCCCTTGTAATAATAATTAGATAGTGTGCATGCAAAAGTTATAATTAATAGTATAGTTAACAATTTTTTTTTTAGAATAAAACCACTGATTTAATAAAATTGTATTCACAATCATAATCAATAATTAAATCGAATACTTCTATTCTATTTTAGATTGCCAACATGTACTCTCTGAAGTTTTACTTCCTTATGGTTCTCCCAGTTATAGGTATATATCAATTATTTTTTTCCTTCTACAAACATAGTTTATAAATACTGCGCTGTGAAATAATATGTTTATAATCTATATAATCCATCAGCGTGTCGAACACATTAACACTTTAATTTCTTCAAGTTTTATATTTTCAGTGATTTTTTATAAAATTATTATAAATTTAATTCAAATGTTGAATTATTTAAACACCATATGCTTATAACCATGATTACATTTTCAGTGAATGTAGCTCATACATTTTTCAATTAAAATAAACATGTTTTTGTGTGCGCTATTTTTAGCTTTCCAGGCCACGAAGGCTAATCTAATTAGTAAACGAGATATCTACCAGCTGTGTAAAATATTTACCACCTACACCAACCGCAACTGCATGGATTACTCGTACTACGGCTGCAGTTGTGGGCCATTTAAAAGCGGGACACCCATAGATTGCGTCGACAGGTTAGTCACGTGATTGAAGCTGAAGTAAAGTGTTGAAGGGTGGGTATTGTTAATAACAAGCTTGATTCCTAACCCTGTACCCATCTGCCTAGAGGTCGTCCAAAAACAACGTCACACTCGTAGGGAGAAGGGGGTCCCTTATTATATGACGATGTGTAATAAAGTGGGAGAGGGTGGTAGAGATAGCGTGGCGTCAAATTTTGTATAAAAAAAAGAAAAATGTAATGAATTTTACCATTTATTTAATAAATGCTGCTATAAATTGATGAAATAATCTATATTGACCGAGATCAGTCAATATTTTAGAAACAAAATTAATCTTTAAAAGAAAATTCAACTGCAATTTCTTAGTAATTTCTCTGTCTTGTAGATTAAAATATTCTAAGGGTAAACTATTTCTCTTTATAAATAATTCATAAAATTGATATTTAAATTATATTTAAACCAGAAGCTTATATAATTACAATATGTTTTAATATTATTATTATAGACATAAGAACGTTTGTAAAAGATTATTCTAGCGAATATATTTCTCTCTATTGAAGATGCTGTTACCAAAAAAAGAAATGCCACGCTGAACTGAATTGTGGAGACCCGGTTGTGGAAGTCACTTGTGAAAACGGCGCTTGCAAATGTACAGGTAACTACATGTCTGTTAATTGTACAGGTAACTACATGTCTGTTAATTGTACAGGTAACTACATGTCTGTTAATTGTACAGGTAACTACATGTCAGTTAATTGTACAGGTAACTACATGTCTGTTAATTGTACAGGTAACTACATGTCTGTAAATTGTACAGGTAATTACATGTCTGTTAATTAACGTGTAGGTGTAATGTATACTAAATCTTTAAATATAAAACCAATAAAGTAAACATAGATGTAGTATATTTATTTAAACCATATTGAATTATTTATTTATATTTATTATATTTATTTAAAATGTATAGTAATTAAATACAATTCTCGTAGCACTTAATAGTGTCAATTATCAGTAGAAAATATTTTTATGAGACAATATACTAAATTTCTGTTTTTAAGATTTAAATTCCGTATGTATATAAGTTAAATAGACATTTACGTTAGGATTTGTTATTTTTGTGAATTAAATGTCAAAGAAACTTATAAGCTCTATCTTATATGCATAACTAATAGTCGTGTCAAACAGTATTTATGTGCTTTTTAATAACAAAATAATAAAGATATTAAAAACACAAAAACAATAATAATAATGAAAATAAAAATGAAATAAGCATACAAATAAACATTAAATAATAATAATAATAATAATAATAATAATAATAATAATAATAATAATAATAATAATAACAATTACAACAGCATTAATAATTATAATAATAATAATAATAATAACAATTACAACAGCATTAATAATTATAATAATAATAATTAATTAGTTATTATTATTATTATTGTTATTAGTAATGTTATTGCTATTGTTATTTGTGTTATTATTACTATTACTATTATTATTGATATTATTATTATTATTATTATTATTATTATTATTATTATTATTATTATTATTATTATTGTTATTATTATTTTTGTTGTAACTAACATTTTTTATTATTATTACTGAATAATAATAATAAAAATAATAATCACAATACAAATAGTAACAACAATAATAATACTAACAATAATAACAATAACATAAACCACGTTCTTATCACACAGCTACCGATACCAACTCCTGCGAATACAAGTACTGCATGTGTGACGTCGCCGCAGCCGAGTGCCTGGGCCGTCAAGTCTTCAACGAGTCACTCTTGAGGTACGATTACTCCAACTGTGTGCAAGAGTTTAAAGACGCCCAAGACGATTTGAAATGCAATGGAATCTAAAAAACAGTCTGGAGAATGTGTATCAAGGAAACACGCTGACATCAAAATCTCTTTTTTGTTCATCTTTTCCTTTTTAGTGCCCAAGACATTGGGGTCGCTCTATTTAGTTAATACTGTTTAAATTTATCAAAATTATTGTTCACTTCGAAGACTTTAACACTAAACGCTTGCGTATTTCTAAAATAAATTTCAGTTCCAGTTTTCCTGTGTGGTATTTTTTTGTATTTATATTTATTATTTTAGTAACAGCAGCATCGTTTGTTACGAATTGTGGGGCGCACGCATTAATAGAACAATGAGCTAATGATGGAGGACTATCATCGTGCCCAAAGTAGTTGAGGAAGATAAAATAGAGCTCATCTGTTTTAAACACACCACACATATGAAGGGACAGTGCTGTCAGCACAATGCCCAGCTGTCTTTATTTTCCCTAACGTGAGTCGTGTACCCGTCAGAGTTGGGTAAACTAAAAAACGTTTCCCGACATGAACCCGTATTCGAACTCGAGACTATTGGGATAGCAGTCTAGCTCTCTACCACTAGGCTACGTCGTTCCATCATAATTGGAGATAGCGGCACTTGCAATCTCGTGAGCAAACAATATAAAAAAGTTTTTAAAACATTCAGGTAAAAATTTCGTACCAAATTCTGAAAGATTTTGAGAAATAGGAAACAGATGGAAATAACCCATTATATAAGAATAATTTTCCGCTTTCTGATGCACTCTTAAAATAGTATAGAAATGGATATAAAATTATTAAATACTCCTGGTTTTAGAAATCGTAGAAAACGTAAAGTACTACTTCCGTTCGCCGGAAATCTTTCAAAATTTTAAGTAATCAAGAAAATTAGATCTTATACAGTCAGTGGCGTGCAGACCTATGTAGATGCCCGGGGCAAACTCAAGCGGAAGATGCCCCCATATATATATATATATATATATATATATATATATATATATATATATATATATATATATATATATATATATATATATATAAAGCTTAGTTACAAAAAAACCAAATAAGTTGTGTTGGACGTTAATATACGTGGAAAAGCATTTTTTTAAAATTGTACTTATCTTAATTAAGATGAAAACGTTGACTACAGCCAGCTAAATCCAAATGGAATGAATGGTTGGAACTTGGGGGTGGGGGGGGGGGGTTGGAAAGGGGGAGACAATTGCGGGACGTGTCGTGGTGGGGAGGGGGGGGGCTGTGATGCACTACAAAAGAGTCTCATCCGGTTTTGTATTACCACCCGGGACAACAGGGGCAAAAACGTCGTCTGTGTCTACAATTAGGGCGTCAGACACGCCTATATTTAGGGGATGCTTCTCTCTTGGCCTGTTTAGGAATTCCTATAGTGTAACTAATACAGGTGAGAGTGTGCATTGAACTAGAGATGCTTCAGATTTTTTTCTCTAAACCACCTGGTCAAAACGTCAACTCTTTAAAGAGATGGGTGATGCTAGATACTCTCAAACTATCTTAACCTTGAATATAACAGAAGTGTACCTTGTTTGGCTAAAGCTGCCAGCCCTTAAAAAAATACTTCTACATCGGACTGTGTTTAAAAATTCACTATGCTATGTCAGACCCTCCCTAGACTTGGACGTGTTTTCCCATATTTAACACCCAAATACGCCTGTCTAGTTCAGGTGGGGGATAATCCACTAATGGCTTCCATAGCCTAAAAAACCCACACCGCATCCCCACATTTCATTACATCATTATGGGCTCAAAAACTATACTATTAACTGAAATAAAACTGGCTCTGTATGTGCCCCCAATTACTTTAAAGAAAGCTCTACTTTAAAATACTTTAACTTTAACACTACTTAAAGCATGCTCCTCCTATTTGTAAAAATCAATATGGGCGCAATTATTCTAAATGATATCATTACAATGTATCGTAAACAATATGTTGATTCGTATTCTTGAGATTGTCGCTACGGTGTATCAAAAACAATATGGGCATTCTTATTCTTAAGGATGCTTATATAATGCATGAAAATAAATATATACTAAAGGCTGCCAGTGGCGTAGCTACCGTAAAGCTAGAGTAAGCAAGGTATAGGGCCCAAGGCAAATAGGGGTAATTTTCCTTCTTTTAAAAAGTTAAAACTTTTACATTGGAATTTTGATATTTATTTTATATAAATAATTTAAAAAAAAATGAAATCAGGTTTTTTTCTGATTTAGAAATAATTTAATTTCAAAAAGTCCCCAAAGTCCTTTCTTAGTGTACAGGCAGTGGCATTCTGTGTCGGGGAGGGCGGGCGACTAACATTGTTAACATTGTTAATTTTTGCATAGGTGCCGAAAATCCTAGTTACGCCACTGAAGGCTGCCCATACAATTTAACAAAAATAAAAAGTTTGGGCGTTATTACACAACAAATGGCCATACATTTCACCAAAGTTGCTCCAAAAATTTATAATAATAATATGGGCATAATTACCCTTTGGATGCCCTTAAAATGAATCATAATGAAGAAGTACATTTAAAAAAAGCTTTAGAGATGCCCCCAATGTTAACAACGATAATTGGTGTAAATTACTGTTGCATGTCCTTCGAGTGTAATTCATGAATATAAGCATAAGATGCCCCTACAATATATAAAATGAAGATGGGCATACTTACTGTATGGATGCCTTTAAAATGTATTATAAAGTGAATTGGGCATATTACTAAATGTTCATAAAATATATTATAATGAATATACGAATAATTACTTTAAAGATGCCCCTACAGTGTATAAAATAAATATAATTTGATTACTCGACGGATGTTCTTGAAAATGAGTATAACGAATACGCGCATACTACGTTAAAGATGCCCTTACAGTGCATGGGAATAACTTGGTCAAACGATGCCCCTACAATATACTAAATAAATATCACACACATTTATTAAGGGAATATCATTGACTTCCTTCACTGATGCCCGCTTTTTCTATATAAGTTTCGCTATACGAACAGTGTAATGTAAAAACGAGTGACAGACGATTGAGTGTTACAATTTTTTTTTGAGTGAGATCGCAAAACATATGGAAATTTGCGATGACACCATGACACGACATATCGCAACAATTTTTAAATTACCAAAAAAAAAAAATTTAAAAAAAAAAAAAAAAAAAAAAAAAAAAATTAAGAATAAAAAAAAATTTCCACCTCCGCTGGATGCCCCCCAGTGGTGGATGCCCGGGGCCTGGGCCCCGTCCGCCCCCCCCCCCCTCTGCACGCCACTGTATACAGTTACTGCACCGAGTGAGAACCGACCTAGTCACTCCACTGAGTCTACTCAAAACAACAATACTCAAATACGGTTTTATGTTAAGAAGGGATAGCATTTATTTTAATTTGTAATTTATAACCTAAATTTAATTATAATGTTTGAATATTAGTGAAAGAACAGAATAGCCTGAGGTTTATGGCACATTGCGTTGCCATCGGGAATCCAACTACGAGACTAGTTTGAAACAAATCAGATAGGTAGAAGTGAGTAAAATTTCGTTCGCAAATTACCACCAATGACGACTGAATTGTTGGTGAATGTAATAAAAATAAAGACCAATGCGAATTTTAAAAACATAATCATTTTGAATATTAATTGTATTTAGGCGTGGAAAAGTCGGTAAAGCTCTAAACCGAAAAGTCTCGAGTTTGAACCATCGGGCAGATGAGGCTTGATAGCTGGGGACAGCCACTCATCTAGGAGAGACAACTCCAAAATCAAACAACTGCTGCTTTGCAATTGGTTCTTGGTTGGACACAGGCTATGGAAGCAAATCCAAAAAGAACAGCAGACAGTAATCAGAGTCAACAACCTATACGAAACATGATATGTTGACACATAATACTTAACTGTGTTGGGCGAAATCCCTTCCAACACTAAAATTAAGATTTAATGAAAAGAAGATTTTTTTTTTAAATGTAATGAAAATTTGTTTTTCAAAAAAAAATTAAAAAAACGAATCACTTATTCAGCTCTTGTATTGGAAAATATGTAAAAAATTAAGATTGTAAATTCTTTCAAGAGTCGTCCGGGCTTTCTGCCTTTCCAGTTTTGTGTGTTCCATAGACCCTCCTGAATAAAACAAAACAAAATATATACTCTAACATGTGTTAAATTGAGTAAAAAAAAAGTACTGGGGGTCATCCATAAATGACGTCACACTCGTAGGGGGGAGGGGGGTCCGTAATTTTGTGACGATGTGTGATGAGGGGGAGGGGGGGGGGTTCAGATGTTGCGACGTCACACTTTTGCATTATAAACAAGTTAATTAAAAAGTCTAGTGACAATTTTAGCGCAATTTCCTTATGTTATCTAAAAATAGCTCTGTCGTAGCGTAAATCAAGAGCAGGGTTAGTAAAACCATTGGTTAGTTATTAAAACGTTTTTTATTAAATAAACCTAACTACTAACTAAACTAAGCACCTTGAAATCAAGAGCAGGGTTATTAAAACCATTGGTTAGTTGAACTTGATTATCAACATGATAATCATTAAGATGATAGATCTCTACTTCCGGCATGTATGTACAACCACACCACACGCGTCATCACGTTCAATAGATGCGTCATCGCGTTCCATGGCTGCGCCATCACGTTCAGTAGGCGCGCAAGTTAATTAAAAAAGTCTAGTGACATTTATGCGCAATTTCCTTATGTTATCTAAAAATAGCTCTGACGTATAATGATGGGGTGCGTTCAAGCTAGAAGAGCGATCGGTTTGTAGGTGTTTATGTAATTTTAAAATGTGTGACCGAACGAGAGGATATTTTTGAAAACTTTCTTCGGCAATATTGTTCTAAATTATGGCAGGAATCGATTGGTACATGTTTCAAGTCGCTAAGCGGTCTGGTTGCCGAGATATGGGCCAAAAACTGCATTTTTTCGAGGTTTTTTGGCTTTTACGGGAAATACATGAAAGAAACCCGGAATTTTTATGGCCTATGCTCATTCTCGTAACTTGCTTAACATAATTGCTTTTGGAACTAGTCATCGATATTGCTTCGTTGAGGAGGAGATACGACTTAAAGCCCGGACACACATTCATCCATTCATTCATTCATCCATCCATCCATTCCCAGAAATGACGAGTTAATAAACGCAATTCTCCAGAATGGAAATTGCGCTAAAAAGCAATGTTAGAAACCGAATTTTAGACGTTATTTCGCGTTTTAGATAACTGTTTT